AGATGCTGTTTCTTGCCAGGACCCTTGTCCGACACCACTGTCAATGGTAAATTATTCCGGAAATCCTGAGTAATTTTGTTGACATGCCGGGATCCAACCTGGGATAATTGAAGCATTTATTCTTAACAAAAAAGAATTACTCATGCTCTTATTATCAAAAAACGTTCGAAAAAGACACCCATTACATATGCCATACAGTGTGCAATGAGGCACTAAGGCCTTACATGTATCTTATTTCAAAATCCACCTGTCCAACTTTTCCATACACGCCAATGTGCATGTGTGATGTCGTTTTTTTTTTTTTTGTTGTGCCATCCGCACGACTATACAACTGTTTCCTTCTGGTCCCTATTTTTTTCTCCCACTACAAAAGACCCCTACAGCCAAATAATTGAAAAAAAATTATCCATGTGTTAGTCCTGCTATGGCGTAGTTTATGTAGAGTGGACATTAAACTTCATTTCTCTCTCTTCTTGCCAGGCCCTATGTCCTGCACCACTGGAAAGGGGGAACCAAGGCGTAAAATCTAGAAGAGCTTTCCTGGGCAATGACAGGATCGAACACGGGACGACTCGGATAGTGTGCCAACGTCTCACTCACTGAGGGGGGGGGGGGTGGATGACCGAATGGGTAGCACGTGCTCGCTGTATTATAAAGTCTGTCATTGAGTCAACTGGCGTGGTTTCGATTCCCCGGTTGTACGTGACAAGGAGTAGGGTCGCCTGTCCAACCTTGTGGGTTTTCTCCGGGTCCTCCGGTTTCCTCCCACTGCTAAAGACCCCTAAGCGGAAGCCAATTATTGAAATAAAATTGAACCATATGTTAGTATGAAATGACCTAGTTTGTGTCGAGTGGACATTTAACCCCATTTCTCTCTCTCGCACTGAGGCACAGTGTCTCCCAATATCAAGCAAGAATTTTCTTTGATCTGACAAGCTGGATTATATTCAATATACATGTAAGAACCAGAATTGTTTTAATTTGAGACAATTTTTTTAGATGTTTAAAATTATATTACATTCATTAAAGTGAAAAGAAATTGTACGACATGTACTTGTAAAGTTGTTTGATATATACAGCTTCAAAACAAATTTGATTTTGTAAAATAAAAAGTTACTGTAGGCCCTATTGAAATTTTCTCTTTCAGTATTTGACCAAATTTGTTATTGATGCCGACAAAATTTGGTTTTGATACCATAAATTAACCTTCCAATACACCTATGTATACTTTTGATAATACCGGGGGTTGGTTTTGGATGGTGAATGGTTATCGTAAGGTCTGTTATTGAGTCAACTGGCATGGTTTTGATTCCCCTGTTACGTGACTAGGAGTAGTCGCCTGTCCAACCTTGTGGGTTTTCTCCGGGTCCTCCGGTTTCCTCCCACTGCTAAAGACCCCTACGTGCATGCGCAAATTATTGAAATAAAATTGAACCATATGTTAGTCTCAAAAAGACATTAAGTAGGTCTGTAGTCTATATTAAAATTGCGAGAATCTGTCATTTAAAAAAAAACAGTCCTAGGCCTACGTAGGCCCTGAAATGAAATGAAATGGGGTTTAACGTCCTACTGTTCTGCTCCTGGTTTTGATTCCCCAGTTACGTGACTAGGAGTAGTCGCCTGTCCAACCTTGACGGTTTTCTCCGGGTCCTCCGGTTTCCTCCCACTGCTAAAGACCCCTACGTGCATGCGCAAATTATTGAAATAAAATTGAACCATATGTTAGTCTCAAAAAGACATTAAGTAGGTCTATAATCTATATTAAAATTGCGAGAATCTGTCATTAAAAAAAAAACCAGTCCTAGGCCTGCGTAGGCCCTGAAATGAAATGAAATGGGGTTCAACGTCCTACTGTTCTGCTCCTGGTTTTGATTCCCCAGTTACGTGACTAGGAGTAGTCGCCTGTTCAACCTTGACGGTTTTCTCCGGGTTCTACGCAGGGCTGTCGGTAATTTTTCACAGTTGATTAGCAGCACTGCTAATCAAAAAGTCCAAATTTGCCAAATTTGATTAGCAAATTTAAAAATTGATTAGCAGTTTTTCAGTTTCAACGTAAAACACCTAAATAACAAGATATTACTTTAATTCATAACAAATATGATTAGATTCCATTCTGACTATTTTTTAAATTCTTAGATTTTTTAGCACTGCCACAAGTACTTGTGACAGTTTGTGAATGTGATGTAGACATTTAGTTAGGTCTTATGTCTGAAGCCAATTCCTGACAGTGACTTCCGAAGCTCCACTCAATTTAATTGTTATTTTTTGTCACGTTAGAAATCTTCGTTAGAAAACAATTTGTCTGCTTTTTATCGTGTATTAGTTTACTATTTTTGTTCAACCGGGCGCACCTCGATTAACTTGATACACGCGATATAAACAATAATATTTTACGGGAATTTTTACTTTGATTTATCATTTTGAAATACGTTAACATGTATTTATTTCTTTTTATATTTTATTTACAATGCGTGGGGGATGAACTGGATTTATTTCTTTCAAAATGAATATGATATAATTACTTGATGTCTCGCAATGTGAGTGGTACCACTTTAATCCCCATTTCCGGTTTAATAGTCCCTATTCATAGAGTTATGTCCCTGTGTTATATAGTATTGTGTCTGGGTAGTTCGAGAAGAAAATGTCACGCGGAGAATTCAGTTTTGTTTATAAAGTTTTGTTTATAAAATTTTATTCAACATTTTATACACGTTGAAAGTGTTGAGTAAGCCTTCTAGTCTTCAAAATGTGGATTATTCTTGTGTCAATATCCAAAATGACAGGCATATTAATGATTCGCAGTAACTGCGAATCAAAAACGTTAGATTTTAATTTTTGGTTAGCAACGGACAACATATGTATCGCAAATTGCACTGCGATACTGGTTGTCGGCAGCTCTGGTTCTACGGTTTCCTCCCACTGCTAAAGATCCCTACGTTCATGCGCAAATTATTGAAATAAAATTGAACCATAGTCTCAAAAAGACATTAAGTAGGTCTGTAGTCTATATGGAAATTGCGAGAATCTGTCATTTAAAAAAAAAGAGTCCTAGGCCTACGTAGGCCCTGAAATGAAATGAAATGGGGTTTAACGTCCTACTGTTCTGCTCCTGGTTTTTATTCCCCAGTTACGTGACTAGGAGTAGTCGCCTGTCCAACCTTGACGGTTTTCTCCGGGTCCTCCGGTTTCCTCCCACTGCTAAAGACCTCTACGTTCATGCGCAAATTATTGAAATAAAATTGAACCATAGTCTCAAAAAGACATTAAGTAGGTCTGTAGTCGAATTCCAACTGTCAAGGGATCTTTTACGTGCACGCCAATGTGTACACGGGACCTCGGTTTTTTGTCCCACCCGAACAACTAGACAGCAGTCAGGCCCTCCATCCTGAATCACTGACAAGGGGAAACCACGCCGGAAAATCTGAATGAACTTTCTCTGTCAATGCAGGGATCGAAAACCCAACCTCCAGGCTAGCGAGCCAGCATCTTACCCACTTAGCCATGTCATCCCCGCGTAGGCCCTACACCTATCATATTTTCAATGACATCAAAGAAACTATAATTCATGAAAAGTTAAAATATTGAACAACAATGTTTTGATACAATAACTTCAACTTCAACTTTTTATTTGCATATTACGTCCATTAAGAACATATTTGCTTTGGAAATGTTTTGATACAATAATTAACATTTGCTTTCTGTTTATTAATATTATACTATTATTATTATTACAGCATATTTATAGTGCTCAGGGGAACTTACAGAGTGACAATACAAAAAAAAAACAATGTTAACAGTTGTATTATAAGTTCCATGGTAATAATATACTAAAATACAACAGGGTCAGATAGAATCCTGTTTAAATTAAATATGTGTTTTTAAGTGTTTTTTTAAATAAATATATAGAGATGTAGGCCTACAACATCTTAAACTAAATTTTTAATTGTAGGTCTAGTTGTAATTAAATTAGCCTATTAGTATAATCAAAATGGCGATCAAGTACCGGTATTTAAAAATATTGTTGACCTATTTATTTTTGTGGGTGTGTGGGTGTTACTGTGACCCAGATGTGAGATAATTAATACATCACAAGTCTCAAGCGAAATAGGCCTATAGCCCAGTTCTTGAAAGTTGTTAAGATATTGGAAAACAATGTTTTGATACATAATTCAACATTTTTTTAGGAAATAGATTTATAACCAAACACAAACAAAAGAATTTCTGTTAATGTTAATGATACCGGTAGTAAAAAATGATTTTTAACTTTCTAATTTTTTTTTACTCGTATTTTCTAAAGATCGCTAGGATTGGTCAATAATGACGTAAGTGAAATTTAATCCAATCGTAGCCTTCGTCTCATGTTATGGGCGCCATTTTTCTTTTCGCTAACTTGATTGATACTATTTAAAACAATTTAAGGTAAGTTATTATAATATTTCTCAAAGTTTTAATTGTTGTAAAGACCAGGTTTTTGTTATAGGTAGCCAATTTAATGATTAGTTACGATTTATCACTAACAACATGTCTAAGTTGCTGAAAATCGCGTAAAAATAAGTTTAGTGTGATTATGACTCATGACTAGCAAACAATTTGGATTTGGTATTATGCATGGCGTCGAAATGCCAATTTCATTGATTGATGAAGTACACCGAATTATTTATAATTTGACGAGTTGTCCCAGAAAATTCTTCAGTTTAATTTGAACTAGATCTATGCAGAGAATTGATTTATTCATTTCATTTTCATGGCATATCATTGCCATTGTGATTGTCGAATTGAGGCGCCATGGGTGTGTGGACGAGTTGACCAATGTCGTGTCAACGACTAACCAGTGTACATGTATTTTGATATTTGTGGACTACATAACTAGACTTTTTGTGTGGACGAGTTAACTGGCATTCATTTTGAATGATTACAGTTGTTTTCGGTAAATTTAAACTGTGGTACACTATATTGGTACTTGATGAAAAAAGGTGGATTTATTTCGTCTTTATTTTTTTTTTCAGAGGTTGTAAATTAATAATCCACCAGTGCGGTATGTGAAAAATGTGTCTAGACAAGATGGTAAATTGAAGTAAACTTATTTTGTCACCCTACATGTCTGTTATTCCATACATGGGCCGATGATCTGAAATCCGTTAGTTCAATGGTTCTTGAGGTTGATACATGGTTGGGCGGCCTGAGAATCTGAAAGTCAGATATAGAGATTACCCCTCAGTACTGCTGTCCAATAATCATACGTTCCCTACCTAATTCCCTGTAGTTTAAAGGCAGCTAATGCCCCGTAAATTTAAATCTTTCAACATTTTATTCCGATGGTCCCAATATTGAATAATTTCTCAAAGTATCATAAAATCTGTCATTGAGTCGACTGGCGTGGTTTCGAATCCCCGGTGGTACGTGGCAAGGAGTAGGGTCGCCTGTCCAACCTCGTGGGTTTTCTGCGGGTCCTCCGGTTTCCTCCCACTGCTAAAGACCCCTACGCGCAAGTGAATTATGTAAATATTTAAAAATTAAACCATATGTTAGTCCCGAAATGACCTAGTTTGTGTCGAGTGGACGTTAAACCCCATTTCTCTCTCTCTCCCTCGTTGCTGGAAAATAAAACATGACACATTCCTAACTCAACATTAACTTCTTAGGGCAAGTAGTTCAATGATTTCACTTGCCTGAAAATGAAACTGATTGCCAAAATGTACAAATTGCATCAATTTTGCTTTGTGGGATAATTAAGTCATATATGTGGGATTGTTTATGTAGTCTGATAAAAAATCTCCAGTTAACTTTTAATGTCGCTCCCCAGTCCTTTTTATGTGGACGTATATTGTCGTCGCCCCTGTCCGTCCGTCCACAATTGCTTGTGAACACTTTACAGGTCACAATTCTTATCCAATTTCAACGAAACTTGAAATATAGGTTTATCTCCGCAAGATCTCGGTTCCTTTCGATATTAATATTAGCATGTATCGGACCGTAACTTCGTGGATTATGGCCCATGATTTTACGTAAAATCGCGTTTTTAGGTTGTGAACACTGTCGAGGTCACAATTTTTATCCGATGTGGTTTAAACTTTAAATGTATGTTTATAACCCACAGATTTCGGTTCCTTTCGATATTCGCGCATATCGGACCATAACTTCCTGAATTATGGTCCCTGATTGTACGAAAAATCACGTGTTTAGCTTGTGGACCCCATAGAGGACACATTTTTTATCAGATTTAAAAAAAATGTGTGAATATATCACCGTTACACCCTAAGAATGGTTGAGTTCGAATTTTGTAAAAATCGGACTGAAACTGACGGACAAAATGGCCGCCCCTCGTTCGCAAATACATGTAATGTCAAAATATTGCGTATCAGGGTTGTGAACTGGAGGTCACAATTTTCATCTGATTTTGATAAAATTTGAAATGCATGTTTATAACCCACAGATCTCAGTTCCTTTCGATATTCGCGCATATCGAACCATAACTTCCTGAATTATGGCCGAAAAATCACGTTTATAGCTTGTGGTCCCCCTAGAGGTCATAATTATTATCCGATTTAAAAAAACGTTTGAATATTTCACCGTTATACTCTAAGGATGGTTGAGTTCGAATTTCGTAAAAATCTAACCAAAACTGACAGACAAAATGGCCACACCTCATTGTCAAATGGCGTAAAAATATGGTATATTAATGTTGTGGACCCTGTAGAGACTTGAAATGCATATTTACAACGCAAAGATCTTTCGATATTCGTGCATATTGGATCATAACTTCCTGAATTATGGCCCTTGATTATATGAAAAGTCGCGTTTTTAGGATGTGATCCCTCAAGATGTCACAATTTTTATCCGATTTAAAAAAAACGTTTGAATATATCACTGTTACACCCTTATGATGGTTGAGTACGAAGTTTTGTACAAATTGGACCAAAACTGCCGGACAAAATGGCTGCTCCTCGTACGCAAATATTGTAAATATATGGTATATCAAGGTTTTTGGACACTCTGGAGAGAGGAAACAAATTTAATCAGATTTTGATGAAACTTGAAATACATGTTTATAACCCAAAGATCTTGGTTCCTTTCAATATTCATGCATATCGGATCGTAACTTCCTGAATTATGGACCTTGATTGTACGAAAAATCACTTTTTTTGAGCTTGTTCTCTGTCCATCTCTTGCAAAATGTGGGCAAATCATGCATGACAACCGCTTGTTAAAAAATGTATGGGGATTGTTCATAAATTGCTGCAATTAAATTGTATCTTTTTCTCACTATACATGTAACTCATACCCTCGTATGTAGAACGGAGGGGCTGACAAGGAAAGCTGCCTAGTCGTTCGGATGGGACGAAAAACCGAGGTCCAGTGTAAACATTGGCGTGCACGTAAATGATCCCTTGGCAGTTGGAATTCGATATAAGAGTAGGCCGTAGTGCCGCTGTCCGGGCAAAATTTCCCTCATAGCACACTGTATGGCGTATGCCCGCCTTCATTAGCCCAGGTTAGGAGCAGAACAGTAGGACGTTAACCTCCATTTCATTTCATTTCATTTCATACCCTCATCTTTGAGAAGAATCATCCCATCTGATCTAAAAAGATAATTTTATGTTTTCAGATGGTGAGCTTGTGACCCGGATGGATGAATGATGGAAAGACAAATAATAAGTGCTGTATACAGTATTTGGTATAAATCAGTCATTGAAAGTCATTACAGCTGAAGATTTTAATGACGCTCTGTACCGGTACTAACAATGTTGATTACAGTCAATGGAAGGTAATCCTTTGTATGCATTTACATTTCAATACAGTCATATATTTCCGTCATCCACTCCTGTGGTCTGTCATCCATATTTGTCTTAGCACAATACAGGCCTTAGTCTTAGTTAATCCCCTTTCCTTCATGGATTATAGCACCTGATTGTATTGAAAAAATCACATTTTGAGCTTGTGAAACCTCCAGGAATCACAGTTTTTATCTGATTTTAAAAAAAAAAAGGTTCAACTATATCACCGTTACATCTTAATAACAGTTAAGCTCAAATTTCGTGAAAATCAGACTGAAATTGCCCAACAAAATAGCCAAGGTTTTGGACCCATCTAGAGGTCGCAATTTTGAACTTAAAATGTATGTATATAACCCAAAGATCCCAGATCCTTTCAATATTCGCGCATATTGGGTCGTAACTCCCTGGATCTCATTTCCTTTCAATATTCATGCATATCAGACCATAACTTATAGATTATGGCCCCTGATCGTATGAAAAATTGCATTTTTAGCTTGTGGACCCTTTAGAGTGACAATTTTTATGATAAAACTTGAAATGTATGTTTATATCCCAAAGATCTCGGTTCATTAGAATATTCAGGCATATCGGACCAAAACTTATGGATTATGGCGACTGATTGTACAAATCACATTATAGAGATCACAATTGTTATCCAATTTTGATGAAACTTAAGTCGCTTTTTGGGCTTGTTCTCTGTCCACCTCTTACAAAATGTGGGTGTATCTTGCATGGCATCTGCTTGTTTTCACTGTGTCTCTTAGTGTTTCCATGGGAATCTGGGGGGTTGGATGGCCGACTGGTTAGCTCATGTCTGTCATTGAGTTAACTGGCATGGTTTCGATTCCTCAGTTGTATGTGATGAGGAGTAGGGTCAACTGTCCAATCTCATGGGTTTTCTCCAGTTTCCTCCCACTGCTAAAGACTGCTACGCGCTATCGAATTATTGAAATAAAATGGAACCATATATTATACCCGAAATGACCTAGTTTATATCGAGTGGACGTTAAACCTCATTTCTCTCTCTCTCCGCAGGAATTTAGTATTTTCTAGTAAGATTGGGTGTCTCTACTTTCCATATCCAAACTTACCATATTTTATTCGAAATAATCTCCCTATAATTACTTTTTTCGGAATGCATCTTTAACTGAACATTTTTTTTTGTTTTAATTTCAGGTTAATCAAACCTATGAATGTGGTCGAATAAGGTGTGGAGTTGATTAATAGCAACATTGAATGTGGGTTGAATATGGTGTGTTAAAGATGCAAGAAAACACACGAAATGTGTAAACTGTAATGGATTATAGCCTGGCGCTATCCAAATTACAAAACACCTGCCCTTGAGTCTATGAATATTTATTTTTTATGGCACCCACATTTTCATGTCGCTGCCTCTGTCCGTCCAGATGTACCTCCGGTGAAATTTGTTTGTGGTCACAATTATCCGATTTGAATGAAATTTAAATGTATATTTATATTCAAATCATCTGGGATCGGATTCATTTTGAACTCTAACCTCATGGATTATGGCCCCTTATATTGTGGAAAAATTGGGTTTTTAGCATGTGGGCACATCCAGAGGATTTTGGAATAGAAAATTACACCTGATTGTACGATCCATTGTTTTTAACTTCTGGATCCTCTAGAATTCTCAGTTTTATATGCCAACATTTCCCATGCCCGAATTAACCCCTCTTTGCTGAAGATTTGGCTTTCGAGTTCAGAGTTATGCCCCATAGCCAAAAACTTTGAATTTGATAGGAGTTACAGTTTTTAACCGATCCTTTTCAGATTTAGTGTGAAGCATTGGATTCATGAGATCACAAACCCCAACGATATGCAGCGATTCGAAGATAACCTTTTGAAAAAAGCTTGTGAATGTGATGAGGCTACAATGTTTTAATTTGCCGTGTAGCATTGGGACCATGAGAGGACAAATCCAATAAATTTCAGCAATCCACACTTAACCCACTTTTTTGGAAATCATGTGAACGTGATAAGGCTACAATTTTTTTAACAGATTTTTTTCTAATTCTGTATGAAACATTGGAACAATGGGTGATTAGCCTTATTTATATTCCTTATTCTCTTTTGCAATATGTGGGTGTATCTTAGATGGCAACCACTTGTTAATTGTATCAATTGTGTTGTAATATTTTGAAAACAATAATAAATATCAAAGTGGTGTTTTGTTTCATATTTGCGGTTTTTCAGCACAACTAGGATTATTCAGTGTGCTATGAGGGAAATTTAGCCCAGATGTGGCTTTTCTGAATTGTCCTCTTTTAATTACACAGGTTTCTTTTTTTTACATGGACGACAATTTCTACATGGAACTTTGGCTTTTCAGCCCCATCACTATCACAACCAAACACCATCCTTTGCCAGGCCCTAGATCTACTGATCAGGCGAACGGTGCAGAAAATCCTGGGAGAGTGGAGTAACTTTCATGACTGACACTGGGATCAAGTACAGCCCCCCCCCCCCACCTGGTTTGTGAGCTAGGCCTCACACTGTTGAAGTCTGTAACCTTACTGTGTAGAAGTGATAATAACAACCAATAAGCACTGGGTTAAAGTGAGAAAAACACCCGATAAGCACTGGGTTGAAGTGAGAAAAACACCCGATAAGCACCGGTTTGAAGTGAGAAAAACACTCCATAAGCACTGGGTTGAAGTGAGAAAAACACCTGATAACCACTGGGTTGAAGTGAGAAAAGCACCGGTTTGAAGTGAGCAAAACACTCGATAAGCACTTGAGTTGAAGTGAATAAAACACTCAATAAGCGCTGGATTGAAGTGAGCAATACACTCGATAAGCACTGAGTTGAAGTGAGAAAAACACCCGATAAGCACTGAGTTGAAGTGAGAATAACACCCGATAAGCACTTGGTTGAAGTGAACACTTCGTTGAAGCCTAATTTGCATATTTGGCATGGCTTCTTCCGCACTTCAACATCATTTCTGCCTTCTTTATTTCATTGAAAATTTGAAGTGTTGTTACGGAAGTGTGGTAGAAATGAACACTTCAGATATCAAATTTTTCACTTCGAGCACGTCTCGGTTTAGTGTCACCTACACTTCATATGGGTGGCGTCATCACTTCATTTGCGTGAGGGTTACACCGAATGCGTATTCGGAAAAAAAATGTCCCCGAGAAAGTGTTTTTTCCGACAATCGATATTCGAGATGTCTTCTGTTGCACAAATTATGCTGCACTGTGTCAGGGGCGTGCTGGCCCAGGCCCCCATTAAACAATAAGTCCACCCGTATAAGCGGGCTCCCCTGAGAGCTCTAATTTTCAAGCGGAATCCCCTCAAAAAATTGAGAGTGCGCACGCGAAAAATCATACATACACAACGATTAGTAAAATATATTATGCTTACGTGCAAATGTCTGTCACCTTAAGGTGAAATGGTCTTTGATTAAAACTTTTGCCGACTACAGCAAAGTCATAAAGTGGAGTCAGAGAAAGGTAGCATCCCCCAGAACCCCCTACCAGCGGCGCGCCTTCGGGACCAGTACGCCCCTGCACTGTGTAAGAACTTGCATCCTTTGATCTGAAGATTGTAGATGGAAAAGTATCATTTGCACTATTTCAAAGTAAACCTGCATTTTCGTATATCATCCCGTAATTTGTGATTAATGACAATGACTGTGGAAATAATATGGGTTGAGGAAAGGAAGATCTATGTTCGTCACATGACTGGACAATTCCACCCCCGTCCCACCAGCGGCGCGCCTTCGGGGCCAGTACGCCCCTGCACTGTGTAAGAACTTGCATCCTTTGATCTGAAGATTGTAGATGGAAAAGTATCATTTGCACTATTTCAAAGTAAACCTGCATTTTCGTATAACATCCCGTAATTTGTGATTAATGGCAATGACTGTGGAAATAATATGGGTTGAGGTACGGAAGATCTATGTTCGTCACATGACTGGACAATTCCACCCCCGTCCCACTCTGACGATGATCCCTCCCGGAGCGGCGCGGCGCGCTCTCTAAAAAAATCTCGGGCACAGTTTACCTTCTAAGTTTTCCGGTAGCTATTTAGTAACCCGGAGTTTGGTCCTCGTGTGTGGTTTTGGACCAGGTAAGCGCTGATGAAATAAGTTCATTAACATACAAGCGAGCGATCGCCTACGGTCAAAGAAAAATTTCTTTTCAGTTTTTTTTTAACCATTTCTGCTCCCAAATTTATCCAGTATTTTTCTCTGTAAAATTATTTTCTACGGAATGTTTTTTTGTAAAACCAATTTTTCGGAAAAATTCGATTTTTTTCTTTTTGTGACAAAACTTTTTTCGTCAAAAAAATTTTGGAGAAAAAAAAATCGGAAATTTTTTTTGGGGGGTGGGGGGGCTATTTGTAAAACGAACATCGTAATGACCTTGACCTTCCTTCATCGGCGCTCACTTGGTCCAAAACCGCACACAGAGGACCAGGCTCTGGGTTACCTATTTAGGGTGTTTTCCGGTATTTAGGGTGTTTGTCTGCGATATCACCTCGGTGGAAGCGGACGTAAAATACAACTAACACTAACTAATTTAGGGTGTTTTCCGGTATTTAGTGTTTTTCCGGTGTTTTCCGGTATTCAGTATAAAATGGTGTTTACCGGTTGTTTTCCGGTGTTTTCCGGTTGTTTTCCGGTTGTTTTCCGGTATATAGTATTGCCGGACATTTTCTATTATTAAGCAGTTGTATATTATTATCACCGTGATTCATGAGTTTTTATACGCCCACATTTTCATGTGGACGTATTATGCCATCGCCCCTGTCCGTCCGGACGTCCGTCCGTCCACAATTGGAGGGTCTAGAGCACAAGTGATCTAACAACCAACTAAAATGGTTGGTAGTTAGATCACTTGTGCTCTAGACCCTCCAATTGTTTGTGGACTCTCTACAGGTCACAATTCTTATCCGATTTCGACGAAACTTGAAATATAGGTTTATCCCCAAAAGATCTCGGCTGCTTTCGATATTGGCATGTATCGGATCGAAACTTCATGGATTATGGCCCCTGTTTGTACGAAAAATCACGTTTTTAGCTTGTGGACCCTATAGAGGTCACAATTTTTATCCGATTTTCTTGAAACTTGCAATGTAAGTTTATAACCCAAATATCTCAGTTCCTTTCGATATTTGCGCATATCGGACAGTAACTTCCTGAATTATGGCCCCTGATTGTACGAAAAATCACGTTTTTAGCTTGTGGACCCAATAGAAGTCATATTTTTTATCCGATTTATAAAACCGTTCTATTATATCACCGTTACACCCTAAGGATGACTGAGTTCGAATTTCGTGATAATCGGCCCAAAATTGACAGACAAAATGGCCGCCGTTCGTTCCCAAATAGCGTAAGAATATGGTATAGCAAGGTTGTGGACCCTATAGGGGTCACAATTTTTATCCGATTTTGTTGAAACTTGAAATGTAAGTTTATAACCCAAAGATCCTGGTTCCTTACGATATTCGTGCATATCGGACCGTAACTTCCTGAATTATGGCCCCTGATTGTACGAAAAATCACGTTTTTAGCTTGTGGACCCTATAGAAGTCATAATTTTTATCCGATTTAAAAAACCGTTCTATTATGTCACCGTTACACCCTAAGGATGACTGAGTTCGAATTTCGTGAAAATCGGCCCAAAATTGACAGACAAAATGGCCGCCGTTCATTCTCAAATAGCGTAAAAATATGGTATATCAAGGTTGTGGGCTCTATAGAGGTCACAATTTTTATCCGATTTTGTTGAAACATGAAATATAAGTTCCTTTCGATATATGCGCATATTGAATTGTAATTTCCTGAATTATGGCCCTTGATTGTAGGAGAAATCACTTTCTTGTTAGCTTGTTCTCTATCCATCTCTCGAAAATGTGGGCGTATCCTGCCTGGCAGCCGCTGGTTTTAGTTTTTGAAGAGATGGAAAAGACCAAAAAGAACGCTAAAAATATTTTCTACGGATGGATATAGAAGCGGGACAGCACAGCAGAAAGAGAAATTAATCTTCAACAGCTTTCATATTACAACATTTGCATAATCTTTTATATCTTTCGATTTTATTATATCGGTCGATTTCAATGTTTAGTTGCAGAAGACCACAACGAAAATGACATATAACAGTTTTATATTTTACTTGAATATTCGATTTGAGGTAAGTTTCTGGTTCGTTCATGAATAGTTTTATATAATTTATAAAACCATAGTTTAGTTGAGTCTTCTATTGTTTCGAACCATTTCTGGTAAAATTGATCTTTTATACGAAGTTCTATTTGTGATAAAATTGATATATCAAAAGCATTTTGAAGATCCCATATACAGGAAAACCCCACGTTATTTAAAATTAATTTAATTTCAGATTCCAGCTGCCCAGTTTAAAGAACCGCGTATCGAATCATTATATAAAAGAGTATATACATTAGATAATAATGAATTATTTTCCTTCAATACTTTGAACCAATATCCTATTATTCTTATTTGACGCTTAATTATAGCTGGGAACATTCCTAATTCGCCTAGTATAGCAGCGACAGCACAGTTTTTACCTACTTTTAAAATATATCTCATAAAATCATTTTGTACTTTATCAATTGATTTAGCTTTATGAAAACCCCAAACTTAACAGGCATAGTTAAAAACAGACGAAACCATGGTGTTAAATAATTGACAGTAAACAACTGGATTAAAATAAAAGTGCCCCCTTTGCTTTTCTGCCCTGTGACGCCACGCGTTTTTCTGTTTTAGAGAATATACCATTATCACATAATAAAAGACCCAGATATATGTATTGATTGACAATTTCATGTTGTGTTTCATGAATATAAAATTTTAAGTTTATTGATAGCCTACCACGGTGAAATATAACTATTTTTGTGTTCTTAGCATTTATTTCTAAATTCCAATTTGACAATAGTGCATAAATTTATTTAAAAGTAATTGTAAAGTTTCCGGTTTCATAGCAAAGAGGGCAGTATCGTCTGCAAAGAGTAATGAATATATAGTGATATTTTCTAGGTGTTTAAAAATTTGTATCATCGTAGAATAAAAACTCTCTTAGGTCGTTAATAAATATTAAAAATAAAAGCGGTGAGAGTGATTCGCCTTGTTTAACTCCTGACATACTGAGAAATGACGTAGATAATTTACCTTTAAACTTAACAAATCTGTTCACTTTACCGAGTTGTACTTTTATCTTTTCTAAATCCAAACTGAGTTTCAACTAATTTTTTATTGCTTTCGCACCAAGCGTACAGTCTATGATTTAGAATAATAGAAAAGATTTTTGAAAAGTTGAAATCCCCCTATAGTTGTCCGGTATATTAAAATCACCCGCTTTTCGTAAGGGAACTAATATGCTATCTTGCCAGCACTCCGGATAACAACCACTATCATGAATTGAATTAAAAATTAGAGGCAATAAATTAATGAATACTTTCAATAAAAAATTCACTACATAATTGATCAATACCACTACTTTTATTCCTTTTCAATTTCATAACTGCAAGTAGTATTTCATCATTTGAAATAGGTTTGTCTAGTTGATCACATTTGCTATTGTTGACAAAAGTTAAATCAAATTGGGGATTAGTTTCAGAACCTTTGCCATACACACTTTCGAAATACTTTAAAAATTCACATGATGTCAGATTTGAAGCTTTAAAGATTTATTTTTATTTATAGCATCCCAGAATGCTTTGAAAGGGCACACAGATGAGATCCCAAGGCTTTATCGTATTTCAACTTAGACTTTCTTTTAATTTGAATGAACTCACTTCGATGCAGATTGAATAATATTTTGTTGAATAATATTTTGTTAAACTTACATCGATATTTTAGAGAAATATTTCTACTTTCATTAAATTTCTTTGGGGCTAATTTACAATCACTGCCAAACCATTTAATTTCTTTAAGATTCCCTTTTTTATCTCAGATTACATGGTTGGTTTTAGGTTTACCAAATCACGCAAAACATCAGTGATATCTCTGACAAGAATACGAATGTTACCGTTATTACACAAAACAATGGTATTTAGAGCTTCATACGTGCTTATAACTACCTCGCGAAATTCATTAATCCTCAATACGTCCCATTTAATACCATGTTCTATCGTCGTGTTCTCTCTAGCGTCATTACTTATATTGCCATTGATATCTTTTAGAGATTTAAATGTAGTTTAAATTTTAAAGGTGAATGGTCCGAAAATTCTGCTACATCGTAAACTTCAAAATTATGTATAAGATTTAAATAATCATTTGGGACTAAAAGGTAATCTATAACACTTGTTCCTTTTGGTGAACAAAACGTAAATTTACCTAAATTTTTATCTTCGCCTAGCCGACCATTGGCGATTAAAGAGTAGCTTGATTGGCATAGATCAATTAATTTGTTTCCAAACAAATTTTGAACTTTATATTGAGATTGTTGAGGAATATTATTACTAGTATTACAATCATGAGCTAATGTGCCAATACATCTATCTAAATTATCATTTTCTATTTGTTCAGATTCATCTCTTGTTCTGCCGTTGAAATCCCCACATATCAAAGCTTTACCTTTGTTAGAATATTGGACATAAATCTGTTCTATCTCAAGAAATATATCAAAAGTACATATATTGTGGAATGAACTATTATCTGGCGGGATATATGCAAAAATAAGATAAACATCTTCAAAAGATTCAAACAAAGATCGATCTATCTTAACGAAACATAAACATAACTCGATTTCCTGACATTAATTTGCTTCTACTCCGAAACCCAGAAAGGAGGATCGCTTGTCTAACATAAATCGATTTCCGAACATTAATAAAGTTTGTACTTACCGTGATTATGGATTAGCAGTGTTCCCGGTCAACAGATTCTGTGACAGTCACCGTCAGACTTGCGTTTAAATACTATTTTTCAAAACGGATATTGCGAATGTCTTTGTTTCGCTGCCCACTTATGTCTAACATGCTCTGATAAATTTATTTATTATTCGAAATAAATAGATGATATCATATACTCAAGTTTAAAAAAAACAAAAAAAAAACACTAGCAGATGACGTCAAATAGTTTATACAGACAACGGAAGACCTAGAATGATTATGTTCAAATGAAAATATAATATGGACAAATCCTGAAAACAGTGTGAAGTGGAATGGGGTTTAACGAACTACTGTTCTGCCCCGACTGGGCTAATGAAGACGGGCATACGCTATACAGTGTGCTATGATGGAATTTTTGCCCGGGCAGCGACACTATGACCTATTCTTATGTCGAATCCTAGCTGATCTTTTACGTGAACGCGAATGTATACACGTTGGCTCACCATGGAAAAAGCCCTCTATAGGCGATCGATTTTCATTTTTTGATATTTTTGATCCTTAATGGGTGTACTTTCCCTAGATAATGTTCAAAACTGCCGGCAACTCACCGCGAATGTAGTAATAATTGATTTTGAAATGACTGTTATAGCATCAGTAACGACACCCTAAGTACCCGTAGTCCGGTGGGGTGGGATAGCCCAATGTTTAGCACGTGCGCGCTATATCGTAAGGACTGTCATTGAGTCAACTGGCGTGGTTTACATTCCCCAGTTGTACGTGGCAAGAAGTAGTGACTCCTGGGGCGCCCATTAAAATAAAATGAGAATAATAATGGAAAGTTTTATCTTTTTTTATAGTTACATAAATCTACCTACGTGCAAAAAAAGATGTGTGAACAATTCAATGTCAAGGTCGTCCCCGTCTAACTGCACCCATCAGCGTGGGTTGTTGCCTACGTATTAATGATTTTATTGCCATTTTTGACACTCAGTGTTTAGTAACAGTCTAATTCGCCCTTTTCTTGTTCGGCTTAACGTCCGTTTCAAACCAGGATGCACCATTTAATCAAATTATGTTAGATGATATGGGAATCGATGAAATTTGACATCGTACTTCCAAGTTCATAAATGTCTAATTATTTTCTGATACTGCCTTCGTATAAATGATTACATTTACAATTTAGCACTAGCGGGGGGAATGGGTGGTCGAATGGTTAGCGTGTGGGCGTTGTATCATAAGATCTATCATTGAGTCAACTGACGTGGTTTCGATTCGCCTGTTCAGCCTCAGCTCGTGGGTTTTCAACGGGTCCTCCGATTTCCTCTCACTGCTAAAGACCCCTACTCGCAATCGAATAAAACATCAACCATGTGTTAGTCCGGAAGTGACTTAATTTGTGTCGAGTGGACGATAAACCCAATTTCTCTCTCTCTCTCTCTCACCTTTAGTCCGGAAATAGTCCGACAAACCTGGAAATATAATCCACTTAATGTTTTGTGATGGATTTTATATCTTCAGTATGTTTATATTCCGAATCCCTGGCACCTGGGGGAACTCCAAATATTCATGGCCGGCATGAGGCATTTTCTGGTTATTTACTTTTATTTAGTGGGTAGATTCTCTCGGGCCTAAGGAGGATTACCCAAGCTCATATTGAAGATATATAATCCACCAAAAAACATTAGGTGGACTATATTTCCACGCCGAGGCTTAAATGGGGTTTGGCTGTCGGACTACTACTGAAATAGACGACCCGCCCCCTAAGGTGAACCTGTGCTGCAGGTTAAGAACATGACACCCAAATACCAAAAAACACCAACAGTTACTTCAATTTCATTTCACCATATTCCGTTTTGCAATGGATGCCCACCTGCTGAGTCCTCCAATAACACCAGCCATTCTATTACCCTTCCAATTATCTAAGGCATTCCAAGCTAAACATGGTACCCCAATAAAACAGGCTCACTACATCGTATTAGTATGACGAGATTCGCTACATCGTATTAGTTTGACGAGGCTCGCTACATCGTATTAGTTTGACGAGGCTCGCTACATCGTATTAGTATGACGAGGCTCACTACATCGTATTAGTTTAACGAGGTTCGCTACATCGTATTAGTGTGACGAGGCTCGCTACATGGTATTAGTTTGACGAGGTTCCCTACATCGTATAAGTTTAACGAGGTTCGCTACATCGTATTAGTTTGACGAGGCTCGCTACATCGTATTAGTGTGACGAGGCTCGCTACATCGTATAAGTTTAACAAGGTCGCTACATCGTATAAGTTTGACTAGGTTCCCTACATCGTATTAGTTTGACGAGGCCCGCTGCATCGTATTAGTTTGACGAGGCCCGCTGCATCGTATTAGTTTGACGAGGTTAGCTACATCGTATTAGTTTGACGAGGCCCGCTGCATCGTATTAGTTTGACGAGGTTCGCTACATCGTATTAGTTTGACGAGGCCCGCTACATCGTATTAGTTTGGCGAGGCTCGCTACATTGTATTAGTTTGGCGAGGTTCGCTACATCGTATAAGTTTGTATACGCACGCAAAACGTTTGATTTCCGCAAAATAAAAAGATCCCATCGATCTTAATTTGAGCACGAAACATTGTAATGCTCGAAACATTGTATGATGCATTGAAATCAAAAGTTGCGAGGTTAGCTACTAAATAACTGACCTTTAACCCTATCATCATATGAAACATCAACTAACTACCTTTATAACGAAGGTCATTATACACCTAACTAACCATATCTGTAACCAAGGTCATTGACATCCTTTCCCTATCTGTTGTCTATTGTGATTCAGTGGCCTGGAAACTATTAGTGTCAAATTGACATGATCCAGTGCATGAGAGAGAGAGAGAGAGAGAGAGAGAGAAATGGGGTTTAACGTCCACTCGACACAAACTAGGTCATTTTGGGACTAACATATGGTTTAATTTTATTTACATAATTAGCTTGCGCGTAGGGGTCTCTAGCAGTGGGAGGAAACCGTAGGACCCGGAGAAAACCCACGAGGTTGGACAGACGACCCTACTCCTTGCCACGTACAACCGGGGATTCGTTAAACCCCATTTCTCCCCCTCTCTTTACCAGGAACCAAGTTATCAAAACTTGAATCACAGCTGCGTCATCTATTGCAAGCGTGTAGTGTGGTCATCGTGCACCTAGAACGAAAAGATCAAATGTCACAAACCAAATATTATACAGACCATATAAGGAAAAGGGTAAATGTAAACGCGTAATAATAAATATTTCCTGTTTTCGGAGAAGCCATACTTTTCGTTTTTAAAAGGGTAGTAAGTAGTTTGGTGACATAGATATATGAAATGGTGTCTGACATATGGAATCGGAGTCTGACATACAGGATAGGGGTCTGTCATACGGAATAGAGCTCTGACATACGGGTCTGACATATGGGACATGGGTCTGACATACGGGATAGGGGTCTCACAACAGGAATTTTACGTGTACTCTGACCTGCCTTTCATTATTCATGGTGAATCAAATATCGCTTAGAAAAAAAATAAAATAAGGCAACACAAATAAAATAACTTGTTTCTCGGGCACCGCCCGCACGCAAAATTGGTTGCGCGTGCAGTCTATTTATTAGTCTTGATGAAAAAAAATAAATATGTAACGCCCGCCCGCACATCGACAAGCAAGTCGTAAAAAAAATATCCCGCATGTACCTACATCCGCCATACATGTATATCTATTCAAATGTATTAAAACTGATTCAGATGAACATGCTGTCTTTTTTATCCGAACAATGGCGAAGTTTGGCAGATTTGCCTTTTTTATTGATATCGAAAGAACCTCCATTTTGTATCACGTGATATTAATTACCTCCCCTGATAAACTAGAATTTGATTCGTGTTAAAAGTCATTGGCGACAATATTTCAATCATTCGATCGTAATCGGCTCATTATTGCCGGCTTCAGTCGGTCCTTGTTTGGAAAATCCTATTGATAAAATAATGAACCGTAGAACAGGTTAATTAATTATAGCTAAGAATACGATACGATGACGATAGTCGTCATAATGCATACCTTAGAATCTGGGTCATTATTAGCACATTTACGGTAGTTTCGATAATCCGGAAAATAATAATTGGATTACCGATTTGATGGTTTTACTGACCAGTTGTTAGTTAGATTTAAATAGTCATTCAATATAAACACCGGATAGAACACCGAATATCCTGAGAAACACACCGAATATCCCAAGAAACAGTATTTCCGGCAATCTCCAATACCGATGACACGGTGTGACATGCATTGGTTGGAATTCGGTAAATAATTATAAATAAACCGGCGATACTAGATTTAGTTTTAAATACTGTTTACCATGATTATTATTTTTGATACACCTGGTGAAAGAGGCTTAGTTTTTAAAAATATTGTTGTCTTTATGGAGGGCTATTACATAGTCGTATGGAATTTTATTTTAAACCAATTTCAATTATGTGAATTAAATATGGAAAATTATTTTCCTTTCAGTCAGTGTTCAGTCTCAGTGTTTTAGTAGACTTGATTTTGGGTTTATGTTTTAAGTATGTACAATAAAGTTGAATATAACGGAAAGCAAAAACGTAAACAAGTAATGACTTTCTCATTTAAAAAAAAAAAAAAAGAAAGACCGCCCTCCCGCCCCAACAATTTTCAGCAATAGCCAAATTTTATTTTGCACCATCAATGAGTAAAAAAAAAAAAGAAACCGCCCTCCCTCCCTACAGTTTCAGCTGTCAGTTGCCCGAGAAACAAGACATTTATTTTGTGTGGCCTAAAATAAATGTACATATATACACAGAGAATGCTGAATTCGGTTAAATTCCCCCCCCCCCCCCCCCCTGCGCAACCATGACCCTAACACCACAAAACTAGCTGTGTTTACGGTTATTTGACTGACTCTATTCATGTTAATACAGATAACGCGGTATCCTGTTATCCACCCACACCCCATCCCAAATATACAATAAGATGAAATAGCTATGTTTACCGACCCTATCTTGTGTAGGCGACCCTATACTTTTTTTGTCTCATTACCTAGCTGTTATAAATCTTTCTTTTCGTAGTTTTCTGTATTTATAACAATCAGAATAGACATTACTTTTCA